CAACTTTAGAGAGGAAGGGGTGACAGCGTTCCAGCGCCCTGAAGGATGAGTAGGAAATTGAAAGAACATCGAGGGGCGCCTGGGTGGCTCAGCTGTTGAGCGTCTGCCTTCGGGCTCAGGTCATGATCCCAGGGTCCTGGGTTCGAGCCCTGCGTCAGGCTCCCTGCTCAGCGGGAGGCCTGCTTCTCCCTCTCCCACTCCCCCTGCTTGTGTTCCCTCGCTCATGCTTGTGTTCTCTCACTCGCTGTGTCTCTCTCTGTCAAATAGATAAATAAAATCTTAAAAAACAAACAAACAAAAAAGAAAGAACATTGAGGGCAGAGAAACAGCGGGGGCAAAAGCCCAGAAGTGTGAGGCTGCCTGGTGTCAGCGGCAAAGGTATGGGGGAGCAGAGAGGCGGAGAAGGGGGTGGTAAGGTGATAGGGTTGGAGACAGGGACTAGATTTTATTTTATTTTATTATTATTATTTTTAAATATTTTATCTATTCATTTGACAGAGAGAGAGAGAGCGCAAGCAGGGGGAGTGGCAGGCTGAGGGAGAGGGAGAAGCAGGCTCCCTGCCGAGCAAGGAGCCCGTTGTGGGTCTCGATCTCAGGACCCTGGGATCATGACCTGAGTTGAAGGCAGATGTTTAACCGACTGAGCCACCCAGGTGCCCCAAGGACTAGATTTTAAAAGGCCTTGAACGCCCTGCTAGGCACCACAGACTTGATCTTGAAGGCAGAGGGGAGCCCCAGGAGGGCACCATCAACATAATGTGAAGTCAGGCAGACCTCAGACCCCAGTTCTGCTGCCCTTTGCTTCAGTTTTGTCATCTGGAAAATGGGGATGACAGTGATAATAACTTGTTCAAGTACTGAGAGCATTAAGGGAGTTCCTGTCTCTGGAGAACTCAGCCTGGGACCTGGCAGAAAGCCGGCCCAGCACAGGGTACTGGGTCTTATCATCCAAGGGTCTTAGCAGGGGTGCGCCGGGGTCAGATGGGTGATAATAACTTGTTCAAGTACTGAGAGCATTAAGGGAGTTCCTGTCTCTGGAGAACTCAGCCTGGGACCTGGCAGAAAGCCGGCCCAGCACAGGGTACTGGGTCTTATCATCCAAGGGTCTTAGCAGGGGTGCGCCGGGGTCAGATGGGTGCTCTGGAAGGGCGTCTGGCTGCCAAGCGGCCGGTGTGGGGCAGGCTGTCGTCCAGGGGAGAGGGCCCCCTCGGAGACTTGGGTGAGGACAGAGAGCGCTGCGCGGGCTTGCGGGACCTTTAGCAGGTGACTCCCACAGCCTCGGACACGGTGGGCGTTGCTCGTAAATTACACCTCCGTTCTGATCTTTCGGGGAGTCCCTGGGCCCGGTGCGAAGCCACACGGGGGCTGGCTTGACGGCCCCTCTCGGTTCCTCCCTGCAGCGCGCCCGCGGACGCCATGCGGGGGGCTCTGACGCCCCTGTCTTCGCTGCTGCTGCTGCTGCTGGGGTGCGGGCCGAGGGCGGCCACCGGAGGCGGGGCCGGCGGGGCCGCGGGCTACGCGCCGGTGAAGTACGTGCAGCCGATGCACAAAGGACCCGTGGGGCCGCCCTTCCGCGAGGGCAAGGGCCAGTACCTGGGTGAGCGCCTCCCCGCCCCGCAGGGCCTCGGACGGCTCCTGACCCCCACCTCCCTGCCTCCTGACCCCCCCACCAGCTCCTCCCTGGCCCCCAGCCATAGCCTCTCCATCCCCACCTGAGATCTCCCCCCCGCCCCGCCCTTCCCTTTTTCTCCCGACGCGGGTCCAGGGCCTCCGACCTCCGAGCGGCCGGAAGTGGGGCGCGACGGGCTGGCAGAGGTGGTCTTCAGCGCGGGTGGGGAAGGGGCGGGACGGAAGCGGGGGCCGGGGTAGGGGCAGACTGGTCCGACGGGCTCTAAGGAGGGCTGCTGGCGCCACCTGGCGGCCATTCCAACCCCTCCAGGTGATGCAGGGACGGGAGTCACCCCAAGCTCCTGGCGAAGGCCCGGCCTGGGTAGGTTGGGTGCTAGGAGCCCCCAAGAGGGCCGCTGGACCTAAACCCCTAAAGCCCATCTTCCATGAGTGCACGGAGAGGGAGACGAGGTGTGGCCTTCATGAACAGATGTAGTGTTACCCCATGGGGGTGTGGGTAGATGCGACCCACGTCTCCACTTGCTGGGCCCCTGACTGCCCCTTCTCTCTCTGTCTCTCTGTCTCTCTGTCTCTCTCTCAGAAATGCCTCTTCCGTTGCTGCCGATGGACCTGAAAGGCGAGCCTGGTCCGCCTGGGAAACCCGGGCCTCGGGGGCCCCCTGGCCCTCCTGGCTTCCCAGGAAAACCAGGCACTGGAAAGCCAGGACTCCATGGGCAGCCTGGCCCTGCCGGCCCCCCTGGCTTCTCCCGGATGGGCAAGGCTGGTCCCCCAGGGCTCCCGGGCAAGGCTGGACCACCAGGACAGCCAGGGCTTCGGGGTGAGCCAGGGATACGAGGGGACCAGGGCCTTCGGGGGCCCCCAGGACCTCCTGGCCTCCCTGGGCCCTCAGGCATTGCTGTCCCTGGAAAGCCAGGCCCCCAAGGGGTGCCAGGGCCCCCAGGATTCGGAGGGGAGCCAGGGCCCCAGGGGGAGCCGGGGCCCCCAGGGGATCGAGGCCTCAAGGGGGATAATGGAGTGGGCCAGCCAGGGCTACCTGGGGCCCCAGGGCAGGGGGGTGCCCCTGGACCCCCTGGCCTCCCTGGTCCAGCTGGCTTGGGCAAACCAGGTTTGGATGGGCTTCCTGGGGCCCCTGGAGATAAGGGTGAGTCGGGGCCTCCCGGAGTACCAGGACCTAGGGGGGAGCCAGGGGCTCTGGGCCCAAAAGGGCCCCCTGGGGTGGATGGTGTGGGGATACCAGGGGCAGTAGGGGTGCCAGGGCCACAGGGCCCAGCAGGGGCCAAAGGGGAACCAGGAACCCGGGGCCCCCCTGGCCTGATAGGCCCCACTGGCTATGGGGTACCGGGACTGCCAGGCCCCAAGGGGGACAGGGGCCCAGCTGGGGTCCCAGGACTCTTGGGGGACAGGGGTGAGCCAGGTGAGGACGGGGAGCCAGGGGAGCAGGGCCCGCAGGGCCTTGGGGGGCCCCCAGGACTTCCAGGGTCTGCTGGACTCCCTGGCAGACGTGGGCCCCCTGGGCCCAAGGGGGAGACAGGGCCTGGAGGACCCCCAGGAATGCCTGGTATTCGGGGTGACCAGGGGCCTAATGGCCTGGCTGGGAAACCTGGGCCTCCAGGAGAGAGGGGGCTCCCTGGGGCCCATGGACCCCCTGGACCAACTGGGCCCAAAGGTGAGCCGGGTTTCACGGGCCGCCCTGGGGGACCAGGGGTGGCAGGAGCCCTGGGGCAGAAGGGCGACTTGGGGCTCCCTGGGCAGCCAGGCCTAAGGGGCCCCTCAGGAATCCCAGGGCTCCAGGGTCCAGCTGGTCCTATCGGGCCCCAGGGACTGCCAGGCCTGAAGGGCGAACCCGGCTTGCCAGGGCTGCCTGGAGAGGGGAAAGTGGGGGAACCCGGAGTGGCTGGGCCTACAGGGCCCCCTGGGGTCCCCGGTTCCCCAGGACTCACTGGCCCTCCTGGGCCTCCGGGGCCTCCCGGTCCCCCTGGTGCCCCTGGGGCCTTTGATGAGTCTGGCATCGCCAGCCTGCACCTGCCCAATGGTGGCGTGGAGGGCGCTGTGCTGGGCAAGGGGGGCAAGCCGCAGTTCGGGCTAGGAGAACTGTCGGCCCACGCCACACCCGCCTTCACCGCCGTGCTCACCTCACCCTTTCCCGCCTCAGGCATGCCTGTCAAATTTGACCGGACTCTCTACAATGGCCACAGTGGCTACAACCCGGCCACCGGCATCTTCACCTGCCCTGTGGGCGGGGTCTACTACTTCGCTTACCACGTGCACGTCAAGGGCACCAATGTGTGGGTGGCCCTGTACAAGAACAACGTGCCAGCCACGTACACCTATGATGAATACAAGAAGGGCTACCTGGACCAGGCATCCGGCGGGGCCGTGCTCCAGCTGCGGCCCAACGACCAGGTCTGGGTGCAGATGCCGTCGGACCAGGCCAACGGCCTCTACTCCACCGAGTATATCCACTCCTCCTTTTCAGGGTTCTTGCTCTGCCCCACATAACACCATGGCGGCCTTGCCGCCTTGGCCTCTTCTTCTTTAGTGGTAGAGAGACCTTCTCAGTTACAAGAACCTCCATTTAAAGAAAAAAACCAAAGGCTGAACAGACGCGGAAGCAGAGGCGGCCGTGGCCTTGGCCCGAGGAGACTGGTTTGGTTTCTCCCTCCATGCAGGCTGAGGTGGTTTCTGGAAGAGGCTGGCCGGAGTTCCTCTCCCCCCAAGTGTCTGTGCAGCGTTGGGGTTGTGCCCCCACTGCAGGCAGGGGCCCCAGGACGCTCAGCCCAGCTGCCGGAGCCCCCTGCCCTCTCGGGAGTCCTGGGCTCTGCTGGGTGGTGAAGGATGCTGCTTCTCTGAGAGCGGAGAGGGGACTGAGCTCCCCATTCCGTTCCCCCCAGGGAGACACAGGCCCAAGCCCTGCCCTTCCGAAGCTGGTCCCCAGATGGCACCTCGGATCTTGGCTGGAGCTCTTCCAGCTCCCCTGGGACCTCCAGCAGCTGACGCTGCATCCCCTGAAGAGTTTTTGCTTCCAGGGGAAAGCAAAGGGCAGGGGACATCGAGGTGGCCAGTGTGGACGCCCTGCCAGGACTGCACCCCCAGCGTGATGCTGTGGCATCAGGCCTGTCCATGGCAGGTGCGTGGCCCCTTCTCTGCAGGGTCCTGGGAAGGGCCAACCCCTTTTCTGCTCCAGCTGCAGCCGCAGGAGCGGTGGTTTGTGATGGGAGGGGCACGGATCTGGGGCACGATGGCAGCCCCTCACGTCCACCTCCATCTCCCAGGCTGTTCCCACTAACTGGCTCTGCTCAGCATTAAGGGCAGCCACACAGGCCTTTGGGGACTGCCGCAGCAGGCCCGGGACAGGATGGACCATCAGTGAACTTGAGTACCGGCCCCTTCTCTCCTTCCACCTGCTGGGGGAGGGCTGATTTTTTCATACAAAATTGTAAGGTATCCCGCCTCAAGTGTCCCCAAGGCAGAGAGCCTCTTTTTTGGCCCTCAGAACAAGGTACACACAAGCTCGGGGATGAAGAAGGCTCCCGCCTGCTTCTCCTTAACAAGAACCATATGGCAGGTATGTGTGTCTACTAGAGGGGTTGATCTGAGGGGGCTTCCTCTCCTTCTACCCTCTGGTTCCAATTTCCTGTTCTAAGCAGGATTAGGGCCCAGAAGGCTGAGGCTCTGAGGAAAAGGGTGCCAACAGGCCCCTTTGGAATGAGTTGCCTCTGGATGTTTCTGCCGTTTTCCCCAAGCAAAGCCCCCCCTGCAGGAAACGGGTAGGATCCCCCTCCTATCTCCTAGTTCAAGCTCAGTGGATAAAGCTGAGATTAATGCTGGAGCAAAGATGGCCACTTTCCCAGGGGGCCTTGGGGCCTGTCAGCCCTCCCCGAGCCAACCCACTTCTCTGCACCAGGTGTGAACCTGGGGCGCCCGGTGTGGTCTCGCACTGCTCTGATTCTGGCCAGCACCAGACCGTCCATGTTGGAAACGGTGGTGGCTGACTTCTGGCTCACTGCGCCGCGGGCCCCTGGGCAGGCCTCGTCCCCGACCCACTTCTCCCAACAAAGCAGGCCCTTTCACTGCTTGTCTTTCAAAAGGAGTGAAACCCAAAGCTGTCCAAGAGACACTTGAACAGGTTTTGGCTGGGGTTCATGGTGGATTGCTTGATCTCCGATACCTGAGAGAACGAACGAGTCTCAAACCGACTGTGGTGGAGTCCTTTTTGCTCAGCCTTCTTCCTGGGCCAAAGCCACCAGCATCTGACCGGTCAGGGAGAGGTTCCGATGGGTGGAAATTCGTCAGCTCTCTCAGGGGGAGCCCAGGGGACTAAGGAGGGCACTGGGGGAGCCAGAAAGAGCTGTTTCACAGAACTTAGCTTCTGCTAAATGTCATTCCTGAAGCCTTTGGGGAGGGGTGGCTGGTGTTTCTGAAATGTCTATGGGATTTTAGTTCCAGGTGTCCACTTGACTAGCTTTGATAAACGATGCCAAGTTTTAACTATGAAAACTACAGTACCTTAGTGCATTTTTATATTGATTCCTAGGGTTTTTTTTTTTTAAGATTAAGGTTTGAATGTTTTCATTGGTAATTTCATTTCTAACCTGGTATAGGAAGCTTAGTTCTCTACATACCTATTATGTGCCCTGTGTCACAGAAGATTAGGGAAAAATGCACTTGGGAACAACAAAAAAAAGGGACTTCTTTTTGAAAAGAAAACCAGCAGTATTGACGGACTGTACTGACACAACCTCAATAAAACCTGTTGTATGAAATAGCGCTGTTCGGGCCTGGCAGCAATGCAGGGGGGTCTCAAGCCTCTGGGGCTCCTGCTCTACGCCTTCTCTCAAGGAGCATGCATTCCTCCCCAGGCCCCCAGCCGTGGGTTCTGTCACCACATCAAAAATGCTCCATGCTCCCAGGCTGCTAAGGCTCTGCACCAATCACTGCCAAAGCAAGGCAGTGATTGCAGTCGTTTGAGCTTCCCTGGAACATTCCCACAAGCTCTCAAGGGTACTGGGGCATGACAGCTGGCTCCGGATCCCAGGGACCAAGTTTCAACATTTGATACAAATTATGAATGAAATCATGAACCTCTGACCCTGAGGGTGGGGGCCAGTGTCAGGCCCATCGCTGAAGGCAGGACTGGGCGGGGGGGCGGGGGGGGCTGTCCTGGGTGGAAGGCACCTGCCCACAGCTTTGCTATGCTCAGCACTAAGAATCTGTCCCCGGCTCTAGGGATGGGGTCAGCAAACCTGAAACAATCCAAGCCCTGAAAAGTCCTGTGGTTTGCCCCAGCCTGGCAGGACACCATCTCAGCTGAGAGCAGAGACCTGCCCATCAGTCCTCAGACCTGAGGCTAGCTGCAGAGCTGGGCATGCTTCTCTCTCCACTGAAGCTGGAAGGATAATTGGAGAATATCCCTAAAGTTAGAGGGGAGGGGTCTTCTTCCTTTCAATTTTCCTCTCTTCAGAATGGTGTGCAAAACTTCCTTTCAAGCCAAGGCCTTTGACTGGGGCCCAAGATACAGAATGAGGCCCATAGCCTTCAGTCCACCCAGGGCACCGACATGATGCACCCTCCTCACCCAAGGGTTGGCAGTCTGGTGGGAGAGGGTGCCCTTTGCATCCTCCTACTGGGGTCCTGTTCTTGGGCCAACAGGACCTGGGTCCTATTTGGGGAGCAACCTATGAAGCCTCCGAGAGCAGGGACATCTGGCTTGTCCTGCCACTGCCTGGGCCACTCTGAGTATCTCCAACAAGAAAAAGCACCAAACCATGCCCGCTCTGCCCTTCCTGGCCAAACAGCACAGCCAGCTGGAAGAATGGGAGGAATCTGCCTGACAACCCCGCAGCCTTGCTACCGGCTTCTAGGAGAGTGGATGAAGAGGTGCAAGGCTTGAGAAGGTCAAGGGGGTGTGCGGGGCAGAAATTCATTCCGGGCAGAGGAGAAACATGGGCACCAGTGGTGGGGTTTACCAAAAGCTGTTTATTGCTGGGACTTCTGCTGGAAGCTGTTAACAAGCCCCGTGACAGCCAAGGGCCAGGTGTGCATCCAGATCAGCCAGATGCAAGTGCTGGTTTCCTGGACCCAGGGGCTCTGCCCAAAGACGTGCTTTCTGGCAAACTGGCTGCATCTCAACGAGAGGAAATGGTGCCACTGCCGGTCATCTCTCCCACACCCCCCACCCCCATCCCATGTCTTGGGAGAAGACAGGAAAATGCCACGGGTACCCTTCCCAAGTAAAACCTGTACTGATCCCTCCTGTCTGCCCAAGGAGCTGAAGGGCCCCAGGCTCCGCAGTGAGCCAGAACCCCAGTGCCAGGGAGGCACCAACCCTCCCCTCGCCGTCCAGTCACCTCCCCCAGGACCCCAGCCCACATTGCAGGCTGACAGGGGCGGGGACCAGGGCCCGAGGAAGCACAGCGTCTCCGATCCAAGCCGTAGTGGGGCCAGCTGGACGCAGCGGAGTCCCAGCCACTGAGGCCCTCACAGACTCTTCTGGAAGAGACGGTGCAGGCTGTGGGCCAGGACGTCCGTCTCCTCATAGCCTTCGCAGCTCTGCTGCCAGCTCCCTGGCACCTGGCCCATCCCGTAGTAGGCCCCAGCAATGGCCCCGGCCATGGTGGCGATGGTGTCTGTGTCCCCCCCGAGTGAGATGGAGTAGATGAGAGTCCTCTGGAGGCTGTTGAAGGCAGAGGGGATCTCGGGGTCCGGCTCCATGCAGCGCAGGAAGCAGTAGATGGCGGTGGGCACAGATTCAAAGGCGGCAATGCCATTGCCTGTCGGGAAGCCAGCACATGGGGACCCCACACTCCCCCCACCCTCTGTGTCCCCAGGCTTCTTCCGGCCACGCGCCCCAAGTCAGTACTCTCAGCTTCAAGCTGGGCTGCGGTTCAGACCACAGGCTCTAGAATTAGACTACCCAGCTTCAAATCCTGGCTCTCCATCCTGCTAGCACGGGGCCAGGGAAGTTCCCTCACGGCTGAGATTCCGGTTTGTGGGGTTCGACTCAGGCAGAGAGGGAATAAAGGCAGTGACACTCAGGGCTGGTGTGGGGGGTGAAATGAGCCACAGGCAGTTTCCTGTATGGTGCCCAGACACAGTACAGGTGCTCTATAAACAAGCACCAGTTACCAACATGAACGGTCAAAACTAGTGGCCACGTGCCATTCTTGGGGACATTGAGCTGTGAGGCCAGCGGTGTGGGAGCCCTGGAGTAACCCCAGCAAGGCGGCGCTGTGTTCCCAACCCTGCCAGGGACCGCACAGTGTGGACTCCGCCGTCACCGCAGCTGAGGGCAAGAAACGCAGCAGCAGGCGTGCCTCCAGGCTCCCCTCCGTCCTGAAGCCCAGGACTCGCCCTGAGGATGATGGGTGTGAGGGTCTACCTACCTAGCTCGGACACCACCTCCTCTCTGGTCACCGAGTCCTGCTCTAGAAGAGCGCCAATCTTCTTCAGTCGGCTGGAGTAGGGACGCTCCTCCATGCCCAACCTGTGGGTCGGGGGTGAGATTTCAGGGAGGTCGGATCCGACAGGGTGGAGCTGGGAGGCAGGGGAAGGGGTGTGGGAGGAGGAGGCGGGGAGGTGATCAGGCTGACACCCAGCACTGGTGTCCTGACAAGAAGTAGGAGAGGGCTAGGTGTGAGCCGCTCATCTTACTCTCTGGTACCCTAAGAGCCTCGGAGTAGAGTCAAGGCAAAGGGGCTCCTCCCACCCCTCCTAAGAGTCTGCAATTAAAAAAGAAAGGTTTCAGCTTGTGGCGATGCCAGAGGACCCCACAATGCAGGCACACCCACACATGCCCTTCCAGCCTGCCTCCTTCCCATACTCACTCCCTTGCATCTGAGACGGACTGGGCGTCACTCTCCAGCTCTTCCATGTGGCCCAGGAGTTGTTCGAGGAAATGTTCACTCGACGACTCCCCCTGCAAAGCCAGGTGCACAGCCAGGGCCTGCAGGATGGCACCGTTGTAACCCAGGGAGGAGGCGTGTGTCAGCTGGGCTGAGAGCCGGGCAAACTAGGGCAGAGGCAGTGGGAGCAAAGACGTGCTGTCACAGAACCCGGGCTGCAGAGATGAGGGAGGGAGGGAAACGCCCAGCAGCCAGCCCGCCTGGACTACCTTCTGCACATCCTGGACATTGCTATAGGCCAGGGAGATGCCGGCCACCCGCATGGCACCCCCGTTGCCGTAGGAGCCTTTCCCGTTAAACTGGGCCCGGGCAGGCTCAAAGACATCGCGGCACTTGGGGCTCAGGAGCTTCTTGAAGACAGTGATCACTCCAGCACCGTAACCCCGGTCAGGCTCTTTCTTGTACTCCTGAGCAAATCTAGGGGAAAGAAGGGAGACAGGATGAAGGCTGAACATATGTGTGCCGGGGCCAGGAGAGGAGAGCTCTGGCTGCTCCGGTAAAAGCAGCAGCCTCAGGGCCCTAGGGAGCCCATACCAGCAGCGCTGCCTCTTCCGTCCTGCCAAGGGGGGGCCCAGCATGCACCCACCCACATCATCGCTCTGGTCAAGAAGTACGGTTACTCTGCCACCTGCTTCGCCTCCCCCCAGGACCGCCCCCCCTTACCTGTGAGCCATGTCCACCTCGTCGAAGGCCTCCTTGGCCAGCAGGGACTGCACCAGGGCCCTGGCCATGGCTGTGTCGTCTGTGTAGTACAACACTTCTGCAGGGACGGGGTGGAGGTGAGGGTGAGATTGTGCTGCAGGGCATGAAGGTGGGAGATCCGCCCCCCCTTTTTTAAGTAAGCTCTATACCCAATGTGGGGCTTGAACTCATGACCCTGAGAATGAGGTACATGCTCTACTGACCGAGCCTCCCTCTCTCCCACCCAATTTCCTGAGCTCCAGGCCTGGGGATTTTCAGTAATTCTTTATTCCGAGTCAGTTATGATGACCTCCTGATTTCTGAAGGAAGATCTTCTGCCCCCTTCTGACTGCCATGACCGTAGCTCTCCTGTACCACCCTCCGACCCAGCTTGTATGTGCAGCCAGGAAATTCTTCCTAAAAGCAACTATCCCTTTCCTCATCTCATTCTCCTGCTCAAAATCGCTGTCTGCTGCTTTCAGGATTAGGCCAAATTCACTGCCTTGGCCTTCAAAGCCCCTCCCTGTTACATCCCACTGCTCCCCTCCACATCCCCAGAACCAACCTTGGAGCCTGGGTCAACACCCCCCTCCACCTGCCCCACTCTCTTTTTTTTTTAAAGATTTTATTCATTTATTTGACAGAGAGAGAAAATGAGAGAGGGAACACGAGCAGGGGGAGTGGGAGAGGGAGGAGCAGACTCCCCGCCGAGCAGGGAGCCCGATGCAGGGCTCGATCCCAGGACCCTGGGATCATGACCTGAGCCGAAGGCAGACGCTTAACGACTGAGCCACCCAGGCGCCCCAAGCCCCGCTCCTCCTTCTGCGTGCCCGGGACTACTGCTCTGGCACTTCTGACAAGCAATGCTGGTTACATGAAGACGTCCCACGTAGGCTGTGAGCCAGCAATGGACTGGCAGGACTTGGTTTTCCCGAAGGAAGGGATGGCTACAGAGAAGGAAGCGAGCCCCCACCCCACTCCCACTCCTCTCTGAGTACTGCAAGCCCCCTGCCGCACTTTCTCCCCTTCATTCTTAGGGGGCTCCCATTCTGGCTTCACTAGGAAGCGGGGTCGACAGGCCTCTTACCCACAGCCACACTCTCCTGTCACCTCTTGACCAAGTCCGTCCCTCTTCCAGTCCACCCAGCCCAGCTCCCTGGCGGATCTGTTCTTCCTTCCTCTCCTCTCCTGTCCCGTCCCCTCAACCTCGCCCCATGTGGTGGGGCAGCACCCATGCTCCCTTCGTTTGGTCCCTGAATCTTGCTTTTCCCCAGGGGGCCACTTCTCTATCATTCTCAGCTCATGTGATTGGGGCATACAGTTCACACCACCACTAGCCTCTCCTCAAATAGCACACCCTACTCCTTTGTTCAGGGATGGACAGATGGCCAAGCCAGGCCAAGGAGATGCAGTCTGGGATTTCTGCTGGGGCCGCTGCAGACAGACTCTTCTTCTCCTGGAGCTGCTGGGACCACCCCATGGGGAGGGTCTGCCAGGGAGAGTGAAGTCAACCTGTCAGAACGCGGATCTGAATAAGGAGCGGAGCTGGGTCTTAATGACGTGGCTTGAACCCCTAGATTCATCTCCACCTGAAGCCAGACCCACCTCTGGACTTCTCAGTTATGTCAGCCAATGCATTCTTTTTGCCTAGGCCATTATGAGTTGAGTTTTCTGCTACTTGCATCCAAAAGGTTCTAAAACACCAGAATGTTTTTCCTTCATCTTAACATCAAAACAAAGATGAAATTAAAACCCATCCCTCCATCTTGTCTTTGCCCCAACCACGGCCCCTGTCTCTCCTTCCTATCATACCAAACCATACTATTTCCTTTCTCCACTTCTGCCTAAACCCACTGAAATCTTACTTCCAGGTCTCAACATTCTACTGAAAACGGTTTTTGAAATCTAGATTTCCTTCTTAACCTCTCTGTAGCATGACACCAGTGACCATCTTGAAATTCTCCTGGGTTTTGCTGATGCCCTGCCCCCCCGCTTCAACTCCCATCAAATCGTTTCCAATTCTAGCTCCTCCAGGATTCTGAGGATGGTCCCTTTTTCTTACTATCCTACACGCTCTCCAAGAATCATCCGCCGCTTGACCTCAGAGATGTGGGTGAGGACCTGGCTACGCAAGGGGAGGAGACAGGCTTTGTATATAAGGGACAGCACGACAAAGGCCTGGGCTCGAGGAAGCTGGTGTGAGAGCAGCTGAGCGCAGAAAACAAGGCCAAGGGTGGCAGAAGGTGAAACTGGGGACTCAGGCGCCGGCCAGGTAGGACACGTTTAGGAATTTGGTTCTATTCTGAGGGTAACGGAAAATCACTGCAGAGCTTCCGGCGGGGGAGTCCCGTCACGTCTGTTTGGAGAAGAGCTGCTGTGTGGAGAATGGACTGGCGATGCACACGGTGGACCAGGCGCAATGCTGGAGAATGACGCCCAGGTTGCCGGCTTGCACGGCTGAAAGGACGGGCTTGCCAGGCCCCCAGACGGGGAACGTTTCCGGGCGAGACGAGCGAAGCTGGGGCTTGGACTCTGACGCGCTGAGTCCGAGCTGCCCGCGGCTCCTCCAGACCCGGCCCCTGCAGCTCCGGGCAGCTTCACCTTCGAGGCTTGTCTCTCCCGCCCGGGGCCCCCCCCCGCCCGGCCAACGCGTCCCCACGTGCACCCGGCCCCGCCCACCTGTCCGCGCGCTCCCCGGTGAGCCCGGGTCCGGCTCCAGGCTCTGGACGTGACGCAGGACTGACGTCAGGGTGACGGTGTCGTGCGCCTCATAGAAGGAGCCCACGCAGTCCCCGAGCAGCGCGCCGGCCAGGCAGCCTCGAAAGCGGGAGAGGGAGCGCGCCGCCCCAGCCCCCGCGCAGCCCGCCGCCGTCATCCCCGCCGCCGCCGCCGCCATCCGCGCGGAGCAGTCGCCACTTCCGGTACGGCCGGCGCGCGCCGCACGACAACGGCCCCCCCCAGCCACGCGCGCTGCCTCTCTGCGCCCACAGCGCCGCCCAGCGGCCCGGAGCCGCAGCTCCCGCGTCCTGCAGCACTGGCTTGGGCCAGGCCTCTGCTTTTAGCCCCATTCTCCCCACCTGTAAGCGGCTCACAGACGGGCGGGATGGCCACTGAAGGGTCCCCGAGGTGAGAGGAGGGCCCGAGCCACACCACCGGACCCTGGCAGCCCTGCCCTGCAGGCCACTGTCTCTGTCCCCCCCCACCCCCACTCCCTGTGGCCTGCATTTAGCAAGCCTTGCTCTGGGCCCCAGCAACCGCTGCCCTCCCTCCCTCCCATGGCTGCCCCAGCCCTTGGCTCCCTCAGGCCTGGGCCCCCACCTCCAAGCCCTCCCACTGTGATCCTAGACGCGTCTGCTTCCCCCGGGCCTCCCCTAGGCATCAAGAGGGCAGGCAAGGGTCCAGCCGGGGCAGAGCTGGTGAGAGGTCACGCTGCTAGAGCCGGGCGGATGCTGGCCTAGCCCAGAGAGGGGTTCCCTGAAGAGGGAGGAGGGAAGGAATCAGATTTAGAACATGGAGCTTGAGGGATGATGTTCCCCAACTTTGCTCCTCCATACACAGGAAGGCCAAGAGCCCTGTCACTCCCTGCTGGCTATATGCAGGGAGAGCAGAAAGCCATTTGGACTGAGAACCACGTTTATTAGATTCATTCTCTCTACCCCCCACCCTCTTCCATCTCCCATCTGACCTTTCCCTCATCCCTCAGCCCCCCAAGACTAGACCAGCTGCAGCTGGCAGCTTTTGAGTGGACTCAGGGTGCGGTTTGTGGTGCGGGTGAAGGTGTCCACCTGGGGTACAAACTTCTCCGCAGGTACAGTCAGCTTCCTGCGGGTGTCCATGCACTTGGTGTCCAACAGCATGGAGTTGGCCTTGCAGTCAATGTCAGCCTGCAGCCGGGCCAGGTGCTTGTGGAGAGCATCCAGAGCATCCCTGGGGAGGAGGCATGAACAACCCGTCACCCCTGCCCGACGCTGGGAGGTCAGGGCTGAGCTCACTGGCCTTCAGTTAGGAAGACATCAGAGAAGCCAGCAGGCAGCAAAAGGCCCCATGGGTGGCAGGTGTCTCCCGACGCCTCCTGCCCACTCCCCAAACGTACTGTGCCTGGGCCAGCTTCTGCTTCAGGGCATCGATGGTTGCCTCTAATTGGTGAACCTCGTCAGTGAGGCCATACTGTGCCTAGAGGCAGAAGGGTAGGTTGGGAGGCCCAGGTCAGCCTATGGGCTTGGATACTGCCCTCCATCAGCACCCTGGCTCCGCCAGGAATATGTGCCAGGGTGTGATCCTGAGGAAGCCTTAGTGGGGGGCCCGTGCCCCCCAGGGGTACCCTTGCACCTGGTCCCGGCACAGTTCCACATTGGGCCGGTAAGTTCTGGACTCTAGCCGGGTCTGGCATAGCTTCAGGTTCTGTAACTTTCTGCGCAGATCCTCCCCCAGGTGCCGGATGTCCTCCTGCAGCTCAGCAATCTCCTCCACGGTCTGCGGGGACAGAGTGACTGGTCTCCACCAGCTGAACCCACCGTGGTGCACCCAGGCCAGGGCTTCCTGGGGGCTCTCATCCCACAGGAGGAACCCCGGGCCCCAGGGACTAAGCAGAGAAGGCTCACATTCTTCTCCTGCCACCTGAGCTCACTGTACACTTTCTCCATCTCCCGCAGCCGCTTCCTGAAGGCAAAGTCTGTGGCCACCCTCTGGGCTTCGAGCTCATTGTTGGTCTGAAGGACAGGGGAGGCAGGGCAAGGGGAGGCATAAGCTCGTGGCCATCTGAGGAAATCGCTCAAGTTGGGGGGGGGGGGGGGGGGGGCCGGCGATGCTACATGGCCAACAGGGAACCCTTGCGCCACCAGCTGGCCGTGGAAGAGCAGGGTGTGGGAGGGGTCAGTCACCTCGGCAATAGTTAGGGCGATGGCCTCCCTCAGCTCTACCGTGGCTTTCATCTCGGCCTCTGCCAGGTTCTTGTTGAACTGGCTGAAGTCGTCCCACTGCTGGAGGGTGGAGGAGCTGTGAGGGGCAGGAAACACCGGGCTCAGAAGAGTGTGGGCTGTGAGGTGGGGAGGAGAAACTGAGTGAAACACTTCTTACCCTCTGGGGACACGCATGGGATTAGCCTTCAGAGAGATATTTGGGGACTTGAGGTTGAGAGAGAGGCAGCCTCTGTCAATGTCCAGTGTCTCCATTTTGTCCCGATGGTCGGAGCTGAGCTGCTGTCGGACCTCCTGCAGGAGGCTGGGGAGGGAACAGACTTGATCAGGATCGTGGTCCGGAAGGGATGCTGAGGGCTGGGCCAGCTGGGGTGAGCGTGGAGCTGCTGCAGCAGCAGAGACAAAGGCCGGCAGAGCTGGAGGAGCACCCTACAGACAAAATGGGGGCCCCCGCCTGCTTACATGCGCCCACGGGGGCACCTGGATGTAGCTAAACTCACTGAGGCTCACACATAACACACTTGCGAGAAGGTACTCCGGGGTGGTGGCAAATGGGCTTCATGTCTCGTGCTTCCAATCAACCGATAATGGCTGCCTAAAGCAGGGTGGTGGGAAGTGTTTTGAGACCGTGTCCCCGCGGTGGGCTAAGAGCTACAGTCAATTAGTGGTTTCTGCCGTGGGCACCGCAGGGTCAGAAGGCAGCCTGAGAACCAGCTGCTCGGTACCCACAACACGTTTCACATGTAAGACATGCAGCCTTGGGACCCCTGGGTGGCTCCGTCGGCTAAGAGTCCGACTCTCGATTTCAGTTCAGATCGTGATCTCAGGGTTGTGGGATCGAGCCCCGTGTCAGGCTCTGCGCTCAGCATGGAGTCTGCTTTTCCCTCTCCCTCTGCTTCTCCCCCTGCTCTCTCTCTCTCTCTCAAATAAATAGATTTAAAAATCTTTAAAAAGAAATAGGGGTGCCTGGGTGGCTCAGTCGGTTAAGCGTCTGCCTTCGGCTCAGGTCATGATCCCAGGGTCCTGGGTTCGAGCCCCGCATCGGGCTCCCCGCTCTGCGGGAAGCCTGCTTCTCCCCCTCCCTCTGTGCTCTCTCTCTTCCCCTCTCTCTTTCAAATAAATAAATATCTTAAAAAAAAAAAAAAAAGACAAGCAGGCTTCAAGTGCAGGTGAACATGGGAATGCTAGACTCCCTTACCAAAGCTTCTCAAAGGCCTGGCTAATCTTTTGTTGCAAGGCCTTCTTGGTGGCATCAATGACCTCCACCTCTTTGTGCAGCTCTTTCTCCACAGGATCCTTCACCACATCAATGTCGCGCCTACTGTCCCTCAAGGTCAGGCACTCGATTGCTACATCCAGAGGCAGGTTCTTGGCCTGCAGGTTTTGCTCTGCTGACTCCTTCATCTAGAAAAGAGAGGGCATGGGACACTAGTGGAGCCATCCACTGGGAAGCAGCTCTCATCCCCACTTTAGCGGAGGGGCAGTGAGTGACTCAGGTGGACATGCGACCCAATACCCCCATCAAGGGTGCGCTGACCCTGAAGTGGGGGGGGGAGGTCCTGGCTGCAGAGTCTCCTGGCACCCTGCCCTGGCTCCCTGCCTGGGTCAGGGCGTCGATCTCAGCATCTAAATCTGTCAGACACTTGTCCAGCATCTCCTTCCAACGGTTCACAGTATCAATCCTCTCTGCCAGTCGAGTCCTATTGTCATGTTCATCCCAAATGGTCTGGAAGAGACAAAGCCAGATAAAGAGGGTGTGGGGTCGGGGCTCTTCCTCTGCCCACCCAATGAGGCTCTGGCCTCCAACCTGGTTGTTGGTCTCATTGCGGAGGACCCGGGCTTCCTGGCGGATCTGGTGCGAAGCATCTCGCTGCCGCTTGGCATTGGTGGACAGCAGGTAGCTGTTGGTGTGCCAGTCTGGCAACCGGAAGCGTTGACTGGGCTTGACGCTCAGTTTGGCCATGGCGCAGGGGTTGAAGGGTCAGAACACCCTAGGCCTGTTCCAATCACCCACCTCCTCTGGAGAGGGAAAACAAGGCAGGAGACCACTCAGGAAATGCTGTCCTAGATCAAAAGCCCCCTCCAAAGAACATGCTCCTGTCCATTTGGCTCCAAGCTCCTTCCTGCAGGAAGCCGGCTTGGGAACAGCCCTGGCTTTACTCAGCTTTGTGGGAGGCATCCACTAATTTTCCTCCCACCCATCCATCCACAGACACAAACTCCTGGACCCTGCAGGTTCCAGAACAGGTGAAAGGGAACCATGGAGTCCACTGGGGTGTGTGTGTGTGTGTGTGTGTGTGTGTGTGTGTGTGTGTGTGTGTGGTGCCAAGCCCTTGGCGGGGCTGGTCGAGGGGGGGCGACTAGCAGGAAAAATAGCCCTTAATGCAGTTTCCACCCCTGCTTCCAGGCAACCAAGTCTTGTGGAACCTTCTTTCCTTTGTTCGCCCCAGCTTTGGGCCAGGACCCTGGGGATCTAAGAGAGGAGCCCTGTTCTCCATCCAGGAAGAGAACGAGCTAGCTCTGAGGGGACACGGGTTGGCACCAGAGAATTGGGGGGCGGCTGGCTCCCCGCCCATTTGGTCGTCCCGCCCCCTCTCCGCCCTCTGTGGGAGGAAGGAGGGCGGGTGTGTGAGGGTCCCCACTGGGAGGAGCTGGGGTCCGTCTAGGTCCCAGCCCAGCCCTCCTCTCCCCTCCGCAGGAAAATCATCTTTGGTTTGAATTAATACCCCCGCGCAGGCGCCGAGAAAGGAGGAGGAAGGGGTGACGGAGGGAGCTCGGCCTGGGTGAGAGCCCCCACCGCCCCACTCTTCTCTGCCTCTCACCTCCAGCCCGGCTCGCACTTCCGCCCTGCGTCCGCGGCTCCTCTGTTCGGCGCCCCCGGTTGCTAGGCACCGGCGCTCCGCCCGCGCGTTACCTCCGCTGGTGTTTGGTTTGGCAGGCGCGCGGCGGCGCGGCGGCGGGGCCCGGAGGCCAGAGGGGTAGGAAGGCAGCGGGGGCCGCAGGGCTGGGGCGCCCGTAGGGGGCCAGAGGAGGAGGGCATCGGGATACCGCGTTCACTACATGTACATGTTAAACATTTGTATTTTGTTATAAGTTATGCATCGACAAGGTAAAAAAAAAAAATGCACAGCACATAGAAAAAGTAATCTCCCGCTCAGGCTCACTCCTCAGCAGATATCCTTCCAGAAATGTATATGTATTTAACATTATTGAACACATTCCTTTGGTCCTGTCTTGCCCAACATTTGCATCCATCTGCTTGATGGCACAGAAGGAATGATGCTTGTTTTTGGAGAGGCCGCATCCCTGGGCGAGGTAACTGGGGTGTTAGAAGCAAAACTCAAAATCCAGCTTTTTTTTTCTCCTTGTTTTAAGTTTTTTTTTTTTTAATTCCACTATGGTTAACATACAGAGTTCTATTAGTTTCAGGTGTATTATATAGTGATTCGACAATTATATACATTACAAAATCCAAGCATTGTTTTAAAAGATTTTTTTATTTTAGAGAGAGAGAGAGAGCAGTGCGATTGGGGAGGGGAAGAGGGAGAGGGAGAGAAGCAGTCTAAGCGCTGAGCCGGAGCTGGATGCCCGATGGATCTCATAACCTGAAATCGTGACCTGAGCCGAAATCAGGCTTAACCGACTGAGCCACCCAGGCGCCCCCAACCATTTTTTTTTAAGATGAGGGAAAATAATTCAACCATGCCAGTACTATTCTAGGCCTTGGGAGATGTTAACATTTAATGTTCATAACTAATAGGAGAGCTAGGCACTATCTCGGTTTTCGCAGCCAAGTCAAGACTGGCTCTGCAGAAAGGCGGGGATGGAAACTCAGGTCCCACTTTCTCTCTGTTAGGACTCCACACTGCCTCTAGTGGTGACTCTGGAAACCGAGAGGAACGCTCTCCCCGCAGGCTGGCCGGGTCCTCTTCTGAGGACTGTGCTGATGGTAGGAGGTGGGTGCTATTACTGTGTAGGTCTTACCTGCGAGAGAAGTGACGAACGTGCCCAGGGTCACACGACTAAGTGGTAAAGCCTGGATTCAAACCCAGGCAGTCTGTCCCAGAGGCCAAGTGCAGGTTTGATAGAGGATGGAAAGGAGTTCCGGAAGAGTCCTCAGTTTTAACATCCCAGTGATTGGTGGGATGGTGTGATCCTCCACAGAGGAAGGACAACCAAGGGGCTTGGTAGGCAAGGGCAAGATAACAGATTTTAAGAAGTTTGAGGTGCTTGTGGTGGATCCAGGTGCTGCCCAGCAGGCAGTTAGAAATCTGAGTCTGAAGCACTCCAGAAAGACTGAGGCTAGGACATTTCCCAAACTTCCTGACCACTGATGTTTTTTTTTCCCCTCAGAATATTTTCTAGGGGCGCCGGGGTGGCTCAGATGGTTAAGCATCTGCCTGCAGCTCAGGTCATGATCTCCAGTTCCAGAGATGGAGTCCCACATTAGGCACCCAGCTCAGCAGGAGTCTGCTTCTCCCTCTCCCTCTGCCTCTTCTTCTCCCTCTGCCTCTCCCCCTCCCTCTGCCTCTCCCCACTGCTTGTGCTCTGTCTCTCTCAAATTAATAAATAAAATCCTTTTTTAAAAAGAATATTTTCTAAACTCTAGTACATGGCTCACAAAGCAGACATGCGTGGGACTTTGTGATGTTGTTCTTTTACTAGGATTAAGGAAGACTAAAAAAAAGTTTTTGGACAAATGAATTGCTGGAAGAAATGAAGAAGTTTTAGTTTATGTTTTGAAACATTTTATAACAGAGAAGTAAATAAATGTGGCAGAATTGTGGTGGCTTTGGCATATATCTGTGGCTATGGTGGTGGGCTTGGTGTTCATGACTCATGATGTTCCTACACATCCTGGCTGAGGGAAGAAGATACTAGCAGAAAAGTTCAGGCAGCTGATGGATTGGACTGAGAAAAACAGAGTGATAAGAACGAGTGATGCCATGTTCTATCATTTTGTACTAGAAACACCAAGAAACTATTATTGTGATGTTTACCACTCTACAGAAGTTTAGATCATGTGTAATCGCAATAGTGCTAGGATGCCTGGGTGGCTCAGTCAGTTAAGCGTCTGCCTTCGACTAGGGTCATGATCTCAGGATCCTGGGATGGAGTCTCACGTTGGCCTCTCTGCTCAGCGGGGAGTCTGCTTCTCCCTCTCACTTTCCCTCTGTGCTTTCCCTCTCTCTCAAATAAATAAATAAAATCTTTAAAAAATATGCAAAGGTGCTGCTGAAGAATTTCAGATCTTGACAAATTCCTGACAGCACTCCAGTGCATTCAACAAGGTATTTTTTGTGATGATGGATTATGATGAAAGCCCCGAGGCCTTTCAGATACACCGGTTGATGTCAGTTCCAAGTGTCCCCCACTTTTCTAAGAGGAAATTTATGTCAGATGACGTTTACCATTTGGAGGAGGGGGTATCACAGCTGAGCATGTGGCTGAATGGGTAGCTGAGGGAACTGAGAGGGGACCAACCTCAGCCTCGGACAGCCTACAGATTATCACGACCCCTTCAAGCTGGGGATATTTTTGGCTCTTATTGGTGGACTTGTGTATTTATGGAAATGGAATAGGAAATTTATTTTTAACAAAAACTTGTGGGCAGCTTTAGCTCTGTGTTTTGTGATCGTGATGACATCTGGTCAAATGTGGACTTGTATAAAAAGAGCCCCATATGCTCAAAGGGATCCTCGAACAGGACACATACATTATATCCATGCAGTGGGTTACTCTCAGTATGTGGCAGAAATATACATCATTTCTCTGTTTATTGTGTGCATTATCCTGGGAATGGTGCTCATAGATAAAGCAGCCACATCTTGTTTGAACATTATAGAGAGGAAGATAATGAGCTCGACTGGCACGTGTCTAGTTGTATTCTTCAGTTGGCTGCTCTTTGTCTTCAGAGTTAAAGAACCTAAGTATCCACTCTGCATTCTCATGGGTTTTAAAGGATCCTAGAGATATAGATAATGAAGCAAGACATTTTTTAAAATGTGAAAAAAAAACCATGAAAGAGAAGAATGTGAACTCATAACTTTTTTTTAAGTGATTGAGATTTAGCCACAGGAGACATGGAGTGCTTTGGCAACAACAAGCCATTTTCTCTCAAAATCTGTGAAGTATGATAATATGTATCTTCTCTGTTCTCAATTTTCTCCTCCCAGTAAGTGTCAGAGATTACCGAATTTAGTGAATTTCAATGATTCAGATCCTCGGAGAGGTACAACTTCTATCCAACCAGAACAATGTTTAAAAGGATTTTAATTGCTAGTTGGTCAGCTGATCTTATTCTAATATGAAAAATAATACCTTGATAAGGTACCCCCACATCTAGCTACTGAAGATAACTATATTGCCTCTCCTGAAGGTGTATCTTGCACAGCCAACTTTGTGTGTTGTCTCCTGAAGCCAAAGTATCCTTCTGCAGAATGCACTTCCAATGCCCAGAGGCAAATACAGTATGACTTAGTACTCTTGCTCAAGTCTTTGCTAATGAGGTGTGTTATTTTGCTGCTTGATCGTTGTAGACTTTATAAACTAACTGATTACCAGACAATAATTTCTCCATGATTGTTAACTTCCTTTTCTCTGGAGACACTTCACATAAATTATCTTTCCCTATTTTTTCTTTCAAGTGGCTAATCTCTAACAAAATAGCAGTTCCCATTTTGGTGTTGACTTGAGGTTTGTTTTTTTTTTTTAAAGATTTTATTTATTTATTTGAGAGAGAGAGAATGAGAGATAGAGAGCATGAAAGGGAAGAGGGTCAGAGGGAGAAGCAGACTCCCTGCCGAGCAGGGAGCCTGATGCGGGACTCGATCCCGGGACTCCAGGATCATGACCTGAGCCGAAGGCAGTTGCTTAACCAACTGAGCCACCCAGGCGCCCCGAGGTTGTTTTCTATTTAATTTAAATCTAACAGGAAAATGGGTGTAAAGATGATTCACAGGATGAATGATAATTTCATTCATCTTTTTCTATTTAGTAGCATGCGAAAATATCAGTTTCC